CACCAACTCTTGGATCTATACTTGTTAAACTTTAAATTATGGGGATTTTATTCTGTTTAATTTTGGTGCCACATTACGGATTAACTGTTAATTTCAAGGAACATTTTTCTACTTTAATAAATCGTGAGAACTTGTAATGATTTTAAATTTCCAAGACATGTATAAAGCAAATAATAAATTTCGCCATCAATCTTAAAATATCTATTTAAATAAATCTTACAATACATTATTTGGAGACGAATTAATTCCTTAGGACCATTTTAAGCAGAAATAGACAAAGAAAAAGGGGCCCTCGGGGCATAACTCAGTGGTATAAAGGATAGAAGTGAGATTATTTTACGCCTTGCTCGCAGCCGCAGTGTGTAGGTTAGATTTTTGAGACATGGAATTGGACTCCTTGTAGGTGCAGTGTACAGACAACTCTTGTTCTCTAACCTGTTGGGGCACATCCCACGATTTACCTCCCTTACAAAATTTTAGGGATGGAACGGTGGGGGCTCTCAAAGTTGGGGTTAAACCTTTTTTTTTTAGACAAAGAAAAAGGGTAGTATGAGACATATCACATCTTGTAATGAAAGGGTCCACTTCCACTATTTTCTAACCTTGTTAAAACTCATTTTCGTGCAATAATGTAGCAGTGTCAAATAAAATAAAAAGTTAAGATTAGGGACCATCCACTTTGTCCAAAGAAAAGATGACCCAATGTCGTGTTCTTCAAATTGATCCCAACTCTTTGTCGCACAATCTTTTTCACTTGCGTTCCAAGATTAGCGCGTAATCATTTTCTCGACTATAATCATGAATTCTTAACAAGTACAATTGAAGCAAGAGACGAGGTACATAGAATTTCATGATTTTTATTTTTCAATAAAAACTAAAGTAAAATAAATAAGCTTTAAAAGAAATAGCCGAATTAAATTTAAGTCTCATCATCATCTTAATAAATATGGTACACGTGTGAATTTTGATGAGAAAATGAATTTGATCGAAGACAAAATTAGTAAATAAACTTTATCTAATTGATTAAGAAAGCCCTTCAAAAGAATAAATATTTCTTCCTTCTATACTTCAAGAAATAATCGGAGATCTGTATGCAAAAAGGATTTGTGAAAGACATTTTCGTCACACTTAGTGGTACATATATATCAAACATGTCCTTAAAAAAGTTTATTATAGTTTTGAGACTAGTACACAAAACAATGAATGAAATTTAACATTTATATTAATTATATGTTCAATGTCCTTTAATCGAATGCATCAAACATATTGTAGTTGATAAACAATTTCCTGCCTTTTTTGTCCACAAAATGTGTCAAAACCAATGTTTTTCTATTATTTTAGTGGGATTTAAGGGTACCAAAACCTTTTAAGATGTTCTATTTATAATTACTAGACTTGTGGAGGGATAGAAGGTCATTTGAACTAGATAGCTAGGTCATGTTTGAATTGGATTTGGCTTCTCGAAAGAATGACACTGAGTTTATCCTTCTTCTTATAAGAGTTACTAGAGATGACCCTATTTGGTAGAAATTGAAAATCATATTTTAATTTAAATCAAAGTCAATAACTAATTTTAATAACACATTTTATGGTGTCCACAATTTTTCAACCATACGTTTCATCAATTTTTATCAAAATCTACTAAGAATCTAATTTTATTTCCTACCAAACTACAGCGATATATAACTAGAAATAAAACCAAGAAAGAAGAAGAAGAAAAGAACAATTCGAGACAAGTGAATTTCACTCTATTCTTAAAACAAAATTGCCCCACAACACTGCCCATGATTCACAATACTCGTCTCTCAAAATACAACGGATTCAACTTATAGCGAATTTTCGACGGAATTTCGCTCTTCAAGAATAAAACGGCTTTGGAATAAATTTGGGAGAGGTTTTGCAAGATATTTTTGTAATGCATAATGCAAGTATCATGTATGATGCATTATGGACATACAAATGGTCCTGATTATAGAGGATAAGGGGTTGTGGGTGAAGTGTTGTGAGCTAAACCTCGCTACCTTACGAATAGAAGCATCACTTGCTGTTGCTAGCCTGTTGCCGACATCTCGCTTGAGTGTTGGTGTCAAAATCTTGCTCAAGTGACAACCCTGTCGCTCGAGTTATAGGTGAGCGACGGAGTTAGGCAATTTTCTAGACCAATTTTCCTCTATTTTTCTTTTCAAATTTGGACCGCAATTTCTCATTCATCTGGAATTGATTTTGGGTTTTCAAATATACCATGACGACTTACTCAACAAGTAGAATAAATTGGTCTATTTATATTTGTAATTTGACTATCAAATCAAGTCCGAATATTTGGCCGAAATTGACACGAAGGTCACTTTTCCATATTTATACTTAACCAAATTTTCTCAATTTAAAAACCAATTTCCAACAGAATGATGTGTGTAATTTGTATAGACGAGGTGAAGGAATTAGTAAAACAATATATATTTAACAGTTATACATGATAAAGCTACCAACCAACAAAAGCCTACATACACTCGCTGCTTCTCTAGAAAGTACAAATCCTAATGATCCTCAAATTGTAGTCTATAGTTTATGGGATTTTGATTCTCTTCTTGAGATGACTCTACCTTGATCATTTGAACGGCAGTAAATCCTGCACAGTCATCATCCTTGATGTTGTGGAATGTATTGAATTGCTGCTGCCATGGCATTGAAGGCAAAAGAGTAGGAATATTGGACAAAAAGGATTGTGCTGCAGCAATGCCATTTTGTGGGCTATGGTACCCTAAGTTGATTGACTTGATTGGGGAACAATAATTTGTCAGTTCTTCACAAGTTTTTCTTTTCGATCCAATCATCTGATGTTTTTTCTCGTTCCCATATTCCATTTCAATCATTTCGACAAGATTGTTGGTCGGCTTATAGTTGTATGGGTGTTGGACAGGTAAACACGGTCTTTGTATTGCGTATATGCTCGGTATGCTCTGGAGGTAGTTGAATTTCCTCTGTATGCTTATTACTAGGTTAAGATCTTCGGCAACCTAAAAAACCCAATGAAGTATCGAAATTAGTGCAATTTGTGCGTAAACGCACATAACATGTTCAGAATACAGATAGTGAAGTACCATGTCGAATGAGCCCAGCTGAATTATCCCTTCTCTGACAGATATAATTGCAATAGTCTGCAAAACATGGAAACTTCATACTTAATTTGATGTAACAGAACAAAAAAGTACATTTTACACTGAAAATTTTCTGACCTGAATGCCTGAATTGAATTGAATCTCCCATGCTCTTGGTTGCTGCAAAGAATGTACAAAAAGACTTAAGAAAACTATTCCAAAAGATTTTGGGCTGTAAGAAATTTCTTTTTAACTTTTTGCTTACTGGATCAATGGATACATTCCAAGAGGAAATGAAAGTAGGATCATTTTCATTGAGGCGATCTCCAAAAACCCATTTATGACCATTATCAGCTGCAACTTTACCCACCAATCTGCAAAAAAAATGGTAAAAACATGGAACAACCTAGATTTGTTGTAGTATCAGAACAGACAAAGATTCTAAGTTCGACTCTTAATGTTGGACCTTTGATAAAAAGTGAACTGAGTCATGACTATAACTGATTAATTAACAAGATTTTTTACCATGGTTGAGCTATTTCTTTTTTCATTAATTTACAGAAGGAAAGAAGAAAAAACTTACCCTTCTCCATAATTGTAGACCTCATGTGACATTTTGAAAAAGATATCAGCTCCAAAGCTTCCCTTGATGTATCCACTTCCAGCTCTTTCACATTCTTGAAAATCACAAAATCCATCTTCCCAAACTAGAATCCTGAATCAGATAACCAACTAACATCTGAGTACAGCTTTTCAATTCATATCAAAATGGCCGAATAGAATTAAACAATATGATAAACAAGATTTTAACTTATTTTCCTTTCTTGGTACTTTCAAGTACCATGTGAGTCCTACCAAACATACCAAAATTTCTCATAAATATTATTCCAAGTTCATTCATTACCAGTTCCTTTTGTTTCCTTTAGAACGATCAAGTGTACCTCCAACATGATCCCACCTGCAACAGAGCAAAGCTAAACGTTACGGATTCTACCAGTAACGTTAGAATTTAGTAATTTGCTTATTTTCAACTTCAGAGAGAGAGAGAGAGAGAATTTTTCCATTTTACAACTGGCTTATGAACTTATAAGTGAGTTTTTAAGCTTGGCCAAAAATGCAGGCAGTATGGATTGGTTTTGCTCACTTGGGTGGGGGATAATTTCTGGGCAGAATCCTCCAAAAGACTGCATATACCCATTTAGAAGAATTAGTAGAAGAATCTGAAAATGAACATAGGCTTCTGAGTGTTTGCTGCAAAAGACAGTTGAGCATTGGAAGTCCACTTTCCATTGTTTAGAAAGATAAAAATGTAGGAGTGAACAAGTTGAGAGAATACAAAGCTACTTTTGTGGTTTCTTTCTACCGCAATTAAAAGAGAGAGAGAGAGAGAGAGAGAGAGATAGAAATGCAATTGTCACACGACTCACTCACAAGAAGACTCTATTTATTTATTCGAGTAGACCCTGTTTCGCCTCATTAATTTTCATTCCATTTCACTTCAATTTTCTCTTTTCTATTTTTAACCACATAATCTTATTTTTAACCAAATAATCTTCATAAAATAATATTATATATCAATCAAAATCTTTTCCTTTTTTTTCAACCAATCATTTTTCAAAAAAATACTATTCCACCAATTTTCACTTCAAGAAAATGGGGCCAAACGGGGCTCTCAATCTTCAATTTTTCATTATAATTGCAAAAAATGATCCTTAAAGAACTCTAAGTCGTGATGTGACCCTCTTGGAAACATGCCTTCCATTTAATTTTTAGACATCAACTAAAATTGAGAAACAAAAAATAAAATGTTCGAGAGTTGAACACTTTTAAACAATTAGATAGATAGATTATTTCTCCATTTTGTCGAATAGTTTAGAAATAATTTCACACATCTAAAACTGGAATTCCCCATAATTTATTATAAATAACTTTTCATGTTTCCTATCATTATTTTTTGTGGAGAAAAAAATAATAATTTCATACTTTTCACATGCCAGTCTTAGGCTTTATTTTTCGGTTTTTAATAAGTCAAACTTGATTATTCTAATTCAATATTCACAAAAAAACACATTTTAAGTCATCGCTTGGTTATGAAAGGTTTTCGATGATCATTTTAATGACTTGATGAGTTATAAATTTAAAATGCCCCCATAAAGACTAATATTTCAAGTAAACAAATTGAGTAATGTTATTCGCAATCGTTTACCATGATAGTCGTCCTATGTGACACAACGACAGTTGGTTACTTGATATATTAATGTGATAGTTTTTCATTGACTCATTCATTAAATAATCATTTGTCATGCGTATGTCATATTAGGCAACTCTCGTAGTGAGCGACTGTGAATTCAGTGAAAAGTACCTTACCGATGTATTAAGTAGTTGGATCATAGTCTCTTAACATTAAAAATAGTGAGCCTTGTGGAGCAAAGATGAGAAGATTTATTTTATGTTTCGTCAAGCTCTGAAATTTTGTTTCATTCATATAACACATACTTATTTTGAATATTCATTAATACAGTGCTAAACTTCTCGCACTAGTATGGAAAATAAAATATGAACAAATTTCCTATTATTTATTTTCTATTTCCTACCCCAACTCAACTTTGATTCGATCCTTTATATTTTATTTGGAGAATGCTTGATGTTCATAGGGTTTGTATAGGCACCCTCATATGCTGAGTGAGGGGGATGGGGTGCTGGGTGATTATTTGAAAAAAAAATAAAAAATTACCCCACCGCCCAATAATGTGTGTCACAGGGCCTGTACGGGCGGCGGAATTCTCTTTCTTTTAAACTGTAACTTTTTCATAGAAATGATAGGGTTACATTGAAACGTTGTCCCATATAGATTCACAATGCACATCATAATGGGGACATTACAGTCATAAGCTACAGGTCCCTGCAGCCACCGTAATGAACAGGTAATTATGTACTGGATAATAACCAAAAAGATGAAGGATCAATCTCCTTGGAGCTTGACAAGGAAATATGTGATCAAACTGCATTGGTAGGACAAAAATAATAATAATAATAATAATAATAATAATAATAATAATAATAATAATAATAATAATAATAATAATAATAATAAAAAAGGCAACAATTTAATGCTACCACTCTTCTTGTTTGTTCATCTCTATGTACATATAACATGTTCCAAACATGAAATTTATAAGCCCCCAAAAAAGGTACAATCCCAAAATTTGCGTCACGAAAGTTTGACCAATCACACGAGATTCATTAATCATGGTCATCAATCAATCAATTCCATCCGTGAGTGACAACATTAAACAAGGAATTGCTCAAGATATAATTATGCATTATCTCATTTGACTGAGGGTGTCAAAATGTGTCGATCCAACGAGATTTCATTAATCAAGGAAATGCTCTCACATTTCAAATATAATTTTGCATTATATCATCTAACCTATCATTGAGCGATAAAGCATTCATCACAGACTTGCAAAAGAGAATAGCGTTCAACTAGAAGTGTCAAAATATGCCACTCGGCCAACCCCTGGTAACCCAGCACGTAAAAATACTCGCCTCAGCCCACAACTATTTTCGTTTGCCCTCAATTTACTTATAAGTAAATAGTTCAAGCATGGCCAAACATGCTTTCTAGAGTTTTCACTTTTGAAAACTGAAGCTGATAAAAATGTACCCCACACTGGAGGCTAGTACAGAGACTTGACAGCCAAAAATTGTAAGGCAGAAGGGCATGCCACCTTTCTCTACAGGGACATCAAATCCAGTCCCTCCAATAATAACCCTACAATCCCTTATCTTTTAGGATAGATAGCATTTCAATGACAAAGTCATGTAGGTGCTGCCACACTGCCTAATCCTCAGATGGTTCATGGTACATGGACACATACTAGTAGTGACCAACATTCGACTCATAATACCTTGACAAAATATCATTTACTCGTGGAAATACCTTACCATGTGCACCGATTCTGATATTTCGTCGTGGAAATACCTTACCATGTGCTCCTATTGGAATCGGAACATAATATCTACGATATCCACCTATCATTGGTAGCATAATCATAAAAACGATCATTAAAAAAAGCATGACATGACTGTGTCGTCAACGGGAGTTGCTTTCCTCCCAGA